ATGCATTTTTTTCCTCCGTTGGAGAGGGAAAGCTGGGTTGGTCCAGGTTGGTAGACAGAGAAGGTAAAGGATGCATGGGAGCTGCCTGAAGCCTTTATCTCTACCTGCAGCTGGCACGCAAGTTGCTAATCTCCACAAGGTGGCAGTGACTGTCCATACGTGCGTTATACACACCCTGGTTCTGGAGACGGCTCTTCCCTTTCTGACAGTACCAGGTGATGGTGGCACCTATCTCCACGTGATGGGCTGGAGAAGAATGCCTGGGGGGGAGATTCCAGGTGCCACCATCTGCCTGGCTTCCAGGAACGGGAGCATCTGGGGTAGGTGGCTTTGGCAGAGGTGTGAACAGACGCTAGGGTTGGGGAGAAGCCAGGCATTGGATCCAACTGTATCCACAGAGGAAGAGTTTTAGACCAGGCTTGGGCCATCCGCCCTCCACTGGAGTCAGTCCGTGACATTCCCTCAAGGAATCAGTTAAAGTCTGTTTTTAACTTTTCTTTGCTCTCTTTCTAGTCCCTCTAAGAGGGAAGCCTGGAAGAAGAGCAAGGCCTGGCACCATCAACAGACATTGGAACTGTGAAGCTTTCTGACAACAGAAATGCAACAGTCAGTTTTAGCACCACTTAGCAGAACAGCCCCAAACACTTTCAAGCTTAGTAGGAAGTGGAGTCCCTGTTCAGCTAGTTACGAGAGGCTGAGGACAGGAACATGAGGCATATCCCCACACTGTAGGTAAAGGCCAGCAGCAAGCTAAGCTGTGAGGGACCTGCTTGGAGCTGTTGCAGTCTAGCTGGGTGGGGTACAAGAGATGAACAGCAGTCGGGGGTGGGGGAGCAAAGTAAGAGCAAGGGATCTAAGGTATGTCTTGCTCACTTCCATACAGGCTGCATCAGACGTGCTGGGGGGTTTATGACTGGATTTCACTCATCTGGGAACAGGGCTCCCATGAGAATGAGCGCTGTGGCTGGGTTGTGTTGTCCTGACCCCTCCTGTGGCCACCCACTCTGGAGGACAGTGAGAGAAGCTCAGCAGGCAGCAGTGCAATCCCAGAATAGCTCCTTGGTTTCAGCAACCACAGTTCTTTGCATCAACTCCTGGGGCTTCCTGAGGCCACCCTTGGTGTGGCAGACTATGGTGAACTTCTAAAGGCTGGTCCCTGCTGTGCTCTAAGCTCAGGCAGATTATTGTCCCGAGTGCCAGCTTCAATTTGCGTAGGAACGGGACACAAAGGTTGCAATATTTATTAGACTAGAGCATCTCTAATCTACAGCCTGTTTCATTTTGCATAGTCAGGCATAAGGCATTAGGTGGTTAAACCACTACTCTAGAAATAACACATACAAATGAGCTATTTATCCCACAGAGGATGAAGCCTGCAGCTGTTTACATTTAAGACTGTTTTAAACTCCTTTTGCTTTCATCTATTACATCCTCAATGAACTGGGATCCTAAATGGCTTCAGAAATCCCACTGTCAAACTTACTTGCTTGTGCAATGGCACAGACATGCCAGACCAGAGAAAAGCAGCACAAGAAAACCAGAGATGACTATAAGCACAGCCCCAGGACCATTGAGGAATGGGCACTGCACCCTGGACAAAGCCAACACCTTTGAAGATGCATGCAAGGGAGGACTGCTGCAGTGCCAAAGGGAACCTAGCCAGAGATAATCCCTTGCACACCTTGCAGACCTTCTGACAGCCTCTGGAACCAAGTGCTCGCCCCTTTCCAGAAAGCCCTTAAGCTCAGCTGCAAAGTGATAATGTCATTGGAAGCATGATGGCAGCCAGCATTTTCTCACAGGCCTTGTGCAACTGGCTGGAGAATGGGCTGGACTGCCACAGTACCACCAATGCTCTGCCCAAAACTTTTAGGACTTGCAAGCCCTCTAAAAATGTCTCAGTAGAAAGCCACCAAACAACAGCATACCTGGACACAGTGGCTCCAAAGCCTACTGACAACAAACTCCCTTTTCTGGTTTACCATTTTCCACGATGTGCAGCAGTATTAATCCACAGATCTTTCTCAGAGCCTAGCTGAAAAGCACATCACCGCAGCTAACCCGAACTGGCAATTAATTCTGCTCAGAAAACCCTGTAAACAACCAGAAGCTCTCCCCTACTTGTGCCAAGATGCATTATTTCACCAGTGGCCAGTCAACTTGTATTTAAGGTGTCCTGGGTTTAGCAGCAGCAGTCATTTTTCTCTTTCTTGGTAGCTGGTGCAGTGCTCTGTTTTGACTTTCAGCTGGGAACAGAGCTGAAAAACAATGATGTTTTGGTTTGGCCAAGGACTTTGTGGGCCTCATGCTCTGCCAGGGAGGAGGGGAGCCGGGAGGAAGCAGAGACAGGACACCTGACCCAAACTGACCAAAGAGGTATTCCATACCACAGCACGTCATGCCCAGGATGTAACTGGGAGTTAGCCGGAAGGACTGAGTGGACTGCAGGGTTGGAGGAGGTATCGGTCAGTGCTTGGTCGGGCTGGGGGGAGCAAGTTATCGGTCGCCTGGTGATGGGGTGTTGTATTCTCTTCCCTTGTTATTTCATGTATCATTACTATTATTGATGGTAGCAGTAGTGATTTGTGTTATACCTTAGTTACTAAACTGTTCTTATCTCAACCCGTGGGAGTTGCATTCTTTCTGATTCTCCTCTCCGTCCCTGCAGGAGTAGGGGGAGGGCAAGAAAGGGGGGGGAGTGGGTAACAAGCTGTCTGGGTGGGGTAAAACCACGACATAAGGACAGTATTTTTTTTCAGTCCTCTAAGCAAGCATTAGTTGATCTGCATCTTCAGTAAGTGACCTCTTCTTGTTGACAGACAAGAGTGTCTAATCCTGACACTAGAGACATTAAGGCCACTTAGGACACCTCTTCACAGGTCAATAATGAGACCTAAAAATTAACCAAGGAATCCTCCACAGTGTTTGAAGATGGGCCACCATGACTCTCAGTCCTTGTCTGTATTCCATAACAAATTCTTGTTCCCGCTTTTTCAACACATCTAAGATATTTATTGTTCCTAATGCCTGTGTTTCCTTTACTCAGCATCACCTGTGTGCTAGACACCAATTTAGCACAGCTAGGGCCAGCATACTGATCTCATCTTCCATGACTGCCAGGTTGAACACCAGAGCAAGGTCAACTCTAAGCTTGGTTACCAATTGCCAAATTACTCGAGGAAATAAGGGACCTATCATAGAATCATAGATAACTTACGGTTGGAAAGGACCTTAAGATCACATAGTTCCAACCCCCCTGCCATGGGCTGGAACACCTCACACTAAACCATCTCACCCAAGGCTCTGTCCAGCCTGGCCTTGAACACTGCCACGGATGGAGCATTCACAACTTCCCTGGGCAACCCATTCCAGTGCCTCACCACCCTAACAGGAAAGAACTTCCTTATATCCAATCTAAACTTCCCCCATTACCCCTTGTCCTGTCACTACAGTCCTTAGTGAAGAGTCCCTCACCAGCACCCCTGTAGGCCCCCTTCAGATACTGGAAGGCTGCTATGAGGTCTTGTCCTGGGTTTAGCAGTAGCAGTCATTTTTCTCTTTCTTGGTAGCTGGTGCAGTGCTGTTTTGACTTTCGGGCTGGGAACAGAGCTGAAAAACAATGATGTTTTGGTTTGGCCAAGGACTTTGTGAGCCTCATGCTCTGCCAGGGAGGAGGGAAGCCGGGAGGAAGCAGAGACAGGACACCTGACCCAAACTGACCAAAGAGGTATTCCATACCACAGCACGTCATGCCCAGGGGGGAACTGGGAGTTACCCAGAAGGGCTAGGTGGACTGCAGGGTTGGAGGAGGTATCGGTCAATGCTTGGTTGGGCTGGGGGGGCAAGTTATCGGTCGGCTGGTGCTGAGGTGTTGTATTCTCTTCCCTTGTTATTTCCTTTATCATTACTATTATTGGTGGTAGCAGTAGTGATTTGTGTTATACCTTAGTTACTGAACTGTTCTTATCTCAACCCGTGGGAGCTGCATTCTTTCTGATTCTCCTTTCCGTCCCTCCAGGAGTAGGGGGAGGGCAAGAAGGGGGTGGGGGGAGAGTGGGTGAACAAGCTGTCTGGATGGGTTAAACCACAACAGGTCTCCACGCAGCCTTCTCTTCTCCAGGCTGAACAGCCCCAACTTTATCAGCCTGTCTTCATACAGGAAGTGCTCCAGTCCCCTGATCATCCTCATGGCCCTCCTCTGGACTTGTTCCAACAGTTCCATGTACTTTTTATGTTGAGGACACCAGAACTGTACACAATACTCCAAGTGAGGTCTCACGAGAGCAGAATAAAGGGGCAGGATCACCTCCTTTGACCTGCTAGTCACACTCCTTTTGATGCAGCCCAGGATATGGTTGGCTTTCTGAGCTGCAAGCACACACTGAAGCCGGCTCATGTTCAGTTTCTCACCAACCAGCACCCCCAAGTCCTTCTCTGCAGGGCTGCTCTGAATCTCTTCTCTGCCCACCCTGTAGCTGTGTCTGGGATTGCTCCGACCCAGATGTAGGACCTTGCACTTCTCATGGTTAAACTTCATGAGGTTGGCATCAGCCCACCTCACAAGCGTGTCAAGGTCCCTCTGGATGGCATTCCTTCCCTCCAGCGTATCAACCGAACCACACAGCTTGGTGTCATCAGCAAACTTGCTCAGGGCACACTCAATCCCACTGTCCATGTCACCAACAAAGATGTTGAACAAGACTGGTCCCAACACTGATCCCTGAGGGATACCACTCGTTACTGGTCTCCAGCTGGACATTGAGCCATTGACCACAACTCTTTGCATGCGGCCATCCAGCCAGTTCTTTATCCAGAGAGTGGTCCACCTATCAAATTGATGTGTCTTCACCAGTTATCCATCAATAAGTGACCAGATCACCTGTTCTGTGAGATCTACTGGCATAAATAAGTGCTTGTAATATCTTAGCCACTCTGTGTTAACTGCAAGGAAGAGAACAGGAGGACATTCCACAAACAGAACTGTAACACAACCAAAGTGTTCATTAACAGATTTATTTTTTTAGTTTCCATAATCTCAAAAGAACCAGGATACCTACATTTCCTGATGAAAGTTAAAAAAGCCACCCAGAGAGGAAGCTGAGAACCCCCAGGTGTTATTAACCTGTTAACCTCCATGATATTGATTTTAAAAAATCCCTCTTGCTGAGTTCTGGGCTAACTCAATGGTTAAACATAGTCATGATACATGCCATCAGCTGGCAAAGCTTTTGGCCTGTAGAAAGAAAAAGCAATTCCGACTCATAGAAAAGGTTCAAGTTTCTAGTAAATCTGTTAAAGCTCTGATGAAGTTCAGCTGTTTTAAGGCAATATTTTTGTGTAGCTTTGGGAAGCAGCTCTTAAGTTCTTCAAGAGCAAATCAACTGACATATACTTACACTTATTAGTCCAATTAACAGAAGTTATCATCGCCAAATGTCCAGCAAAAAGACTGAAACATACATTTCGATCAATGAGTTAAAAGCACTTAACAGAATCATTCTCCTCTGCCAGTCCCCAGGAATGTGACCTTCAGACTTTTACAACAGCTTTTCCAAGATTTTCTCCTTTCAACATTCCAATGAAAGCTGCTGGCATGTTCTCAAATCCTTCAGTGACTTGTTCGTGGCACTTCACTTTTCCCTGTCAAAAGTAAGAAAGCGAATTGCTGAGTTTTCATTCACCAGCTGCCTAGTTTTTACCATCTCCAGGAGACTAAAGTGCAACCAAATTTCCTCCAGCTTGTATGTTTTATCTGAAACATACATTAGGCTATTGTGAAAACCTGCTTTTCCTGCAAGACCTCCTGCTTGGAGTTATAACAGGGAGCAAAAGTCACTACTATAAAAAACACACCAGGACAGATACAGTGCTACTTGGTCCCCAAACAGTGTACACCTAGGGGATTATTTTCCCAAAGCAAGGCCTGTCTCTACCCTTAGGCAAGCATGGAATTGCAAATCCAAGTGATCAAAAGCCAAGCCATCCAAAATACTCAGGTAGAGCTTTTTAGGTTTTAGTGTTAAAACTCACAAGCTTTTCACAGCCGTGAACCAAGTGTTAAACTCAGCCTCCATTTAGAGAAGTAAAATTTAGCAAATTCCCTATGAAGTCCCTTTAAAGACAAGCTCCCAATTACATAAAAAACATCCATTCTTGCCAGTAATTTAGTGCACCACTACAATGGTAATCCCTGCTCATATTACAAATGAAAGAGGACTTCTGAATGAGAAATACAATCACAGAATGGTTTCGGTTGGAAGGAACCTTAAAGATCTAGTCCAACCCCCTTGCCCATGGCAGGGCAGGGACACCATCCACTTGACCAGGTTGCTCAAAGCCCCATTCAACCTGGCCTTGAACACTGCCATGGATCCACAACTTCTCTGGACAACATATTCCAGTGCCTCACCACCCTCACAGTAAAGAATTTCTTCCTAATATCTAATCTAAATCTATCCTCTTTCAGTTTAAAGCCATTCCCTTTGTCTCATCACTACATGCCCTTGTAAAAGCCCCTATCGAGGTTTCCTCTAGGCCCCCTTTAGGTACTGAAAGGCTGCTCTAAGGTCTGTCCAAAGCCTTTTCTTCCCCAGGGTGGACAAGCCCAACTCTCTCAGCCTATCTCCATAGGCCCTCTGATCATCTTCATGGCCTCCTCTGGACTCGCACTCCAGCAGGTCCATGTCCCTCTTGTATTGAGTGCCTCTGAACTGAATGCAGTGCTGCAGGTGGTGTCTCACCACAGCAGAGGGGCAGGATCACCTCCCTCAACCTGCTGGTCACGCTACTTTTCATGCAGTCCAGAACACGGTTGGCTTAATGGGCTGCAAGTGCACACTGTCGGCTCATGTTGAGCTTCTTAGCAACCAACAGCACAATTCCCTCTCTCTAGGGGTGCTCTCAATCCATTCTCTACCCAGCCTGTATTTGTTCGTGGAATGGGATAGAGGAATTACTCTAAAAAGGCAACTCTTCATTGCCAGAGAAGTGTTTTGAATTACTCTGGCAGAATCCTTTTTCAAAGCTTAGGTGTATTCTGGAATATATCTAAGTCTACAAGCTAATATTACAGGTCTCAACAAAGCAGAAGGGATCAGGTATGTTCACTATGGTTCGACTCTCCCCAGAATGTTCAAATATCAAGTCAGGTGGAAGAAAAATATCATGCTGGGGCCTCAGCTCATCAGCTACGACAAGAAACCCCTTGCAAAGAGGGAAGCTATGGTGTGAGTACACCTAACAAAAACCTACACCGTTCTTCCTTACCTCCACGACCCACTTTAGCAGTGCCTTCAGACCTTCCTCCCAGCGGTTATTCCAGCTGGTCACAAGAAACCCTTCCATTTGAAGTTCTTTGAAGATCATTGGCATCTGCACATAAGGCCCTCCAAGAGAAAGGAATGAGCAAACCACCTCCAGTAAGTTTCATTTAAAATAAGAACCAATGCTTAAATTGAGCTCTTAGTACATGCAGAACACTGAATCACATCATTCCAGGCACAGCCAACTGCTATTTTTTCCAAACAGAATTTCCAGGACAAAAGATCAAGAATCCATGGACAGACAGCTTCCAGAAAACAGGCCTGATCTGTAAAGCTGTGGGGATAAACACCAAATAGTCCTGAAAAGTTTCATTCTGCAGTGGCCTCAGCTTCACCTGAGGGGCTTCAGGTAGATCCTGGAAATACTGTTTTGGCAGCTTGTTTGATAGTTTGCCACGCTCTCATGTTCCTCCTAAGTATCAAAAAAGTTAAACACATTAAAAAAACCAGTTCCCTCAGTCATAAAATGTGTGGCAGTGCCCCCACTCTCAAAAGCCTGTACCATTTTTAAAGTGGTATGGCCAACTAAAGCCAGTCAGTTGTCAAAGAGAATTCAGACCACGTATTTTCTGGAAGGCAAACTTGGAAAACCTAATGCTATTGAAAGTGAATATTCATCTCAGCCTCATTTCCCAGCAGTTTTACCAGTAGCTGAAATCCTACAAAACAAAAAAAATCCTCCCCCAAAATCCAAAACTAACACACCCTGCCCAAAAAAAAAAACCCACCCCAACAAACAAACAAACAAATAAATAAATAAATAAACCCCAACAAACCAAACCAATAACCAACAACAAATCCCAACCCTAAGCTGCCTCATTTAAAAACCTGAGGGATATCCATTCTGTTGTCTAAACGTGTGTACTGTGTAAATGGCATCATGCCACCACACCTGCCTTCTACTGATCTGTACCTGCTTAGAGCCCTGGGGAATTCTGTTTTAAACAGTTTAGTCGCTCCTTCATTTTTAATCAGCTGATGTTCTCCATCTGATACAAGTGTGCACAAAGGAGTATGAGTGTATGTACACACAGTGTGTTAACACTCCCACCATCCAAGAGCAGTGGTTAGTTAGCTACCCAAATGTACACACACACATACACTCAAATAGTATGCAGAAACAACCAATAAAACCTTAAGAGACTCCCACTACAACTTTCCCTCTACCATCACCAAACAGGAAATAAATTTAAACATGAGAAAGCAGGCCCACACCTTTCTGAGGCACAGTGTCATTGTACTGAGAGATGGCTCCGCAGACTGCAATCCTTCCATATTTCTTCATCTGGTTGATAGCAACACTGGCAAATTCTCCACCCACCTACAGGATCCAAAGTGTGTACAGCATTATAGATAATCCAATGTTAGGCACTGACTGCCAAAACTTGCCAATCTTGCACTGTTGCACCAACAGGTTCAGTCAAGTGGTGAAGATGAAGTTCCACTACTTCAAAAGCTCAGTAGCTGCAGAAACTCTTACAGTTAGTCAGCACCTATAGATCCAATCTAAATCTTCTAAAAATTAGTTATGAACACAGGGAATTTGGTTCAGCTCTGAATTTGCTTCACAAAATCAGTAGGATCCTTCCTTCTAAGGGGCACATCTAGGGTTATTAGGAAGGACTTCCTCTGCTTTTCCTCCACACCAGTCTGCATGTTTATCTCTTTACATCATGGTGATGTAAAGTTTTTACTTAATGATTCTCTTGTGCTGTGCTCAGAAGCTTTTAATGGAGAAAAACTGTGAGAACATTTACTGCTGGGGACAGCTCTGCACAAAAGTTGGAAATGAGAGGGAAGAAAGCAGACACGACCATAAAACTGATTTAAGACCGTAGCAGCACAAGACATGAAATTTGGAAGGGTATGTAAGGCAAAGCAACCAGGATCTCCTCCCACATGGGCAAGCACTTTGTCCTGACACCATGCATTCACAACTGCCAGAGGGTGCTTTGCAATCCACACAGAATGACAAAGGCCTCATCTCAGCAGACAGACTGCTGAGAGACAGACAAGGAACAATGATGCCTGCCCTTTTAAATCAGGTAGCTAGCCAGGCAGTTTTAGGCCAGTATCTCAGCTAATACCCCTGCGCCAGGTATTATATTACCAGTTATAATGCATGTTAGCTATGCTAAGAAATCAGAAAAACCAGTGCTTGTTCTCTGGCTTGAAGGCAAACTGACATGGTTTGACTGCATCCTTACTGTGAAACTCTCTTAGCTTCCCAAACAAGATGGTCAATATTCAAACAGATAACTCAAACAATCCACAGTCCACGTTAACTCTAGCTGTACTCGGGAGAGGTCAGAAACCCTCTATCAGTCACCCCGTAAGAGCAGTAAGCTTTTACAGAGACCATTTCTCAATAAGATGGAATTCAGTATCATGTTTCTGTTACAGTCTTCAATTAGATGTATAGAACATTGAATTCCTGCTATAGTTTAAGGAAAATGACAGTCTGCTCAGGGCAAGGCCCTCTCTCTGAACTCACGTTGTCAAAGAAACAGTCATAGCCATCGGGAGAGGCTTTACGCAGTGCTTCATCCAGAGATGTAACAGTCTTGTAATTAAAGGCTTCATCAAAGCCTATTTTTTTCAGATAGGCAACCTTGTCATCTGAGCCAGCGCAGCCAACAACTTTGCAACCCTGCAAGGAAAGGAGAGAAGCATTTCTAAACATCTGCTCACAAGACAGGCTGACACAGAGTACTGGGCAGAAGGCTCACCTTAAAGGTAAGCCTGTCATCACCATACGAGTTCCTAAGCTCTAGAAAACATTCAGCTAGCTTTGGTACATATTCAGGAGCTTGTCCCATCTCAATACCTTACTTCAGGGATGTCTTCAGGGATGCTTTCCTCCTGATCATCCATTCTTACCCTGTCTACCAGGTGAGCTTTCCAAGCAACTCACCCCAATCTTAGCAAGCTGACCCACCACAGAGCCCACAGCACCAGCTGCAGCATTAACCAGCACTGTCTCCCCTGGCTTCATCTTGCAGACCTCCAGCAGACCAAAGTATGCAGTAAGGCTGTGAAGGAAAAGAAAGAATGTTCAGTAAGAAATAAAAGATGCCAGACAGAACAGATGTGACTTGACCACAGTGGACCAAAATATCATCACAAACAGAACAAGATTTTGTTTTCCTCATTCTTTATGAATGCAAAAATTAACCCAACCTTCTTAATTTGTCTTTTTTATAGCCATCCCAGTAAAAAAAAAACAACCCACAAACCCAGATACACTACGGGGAAACAGGATGCTGTGTCAGAACTCTACCTTAGATGAAAACAGCTTTCCTTACTAGCCAAAAGGAGAAACATAAAGAGACTCAATTACCCACTGTAAGAAAAAGTAAATCCAAGCTAGACACAGGACAGTAACCTGCTGGTATCTACCAGACTGAGGCAAAGATTAAATGATACTCATTATACATCACACCAAGAAATGGTGGCAAAACTTGGCTGAACTGATGGGCACATTGCTCCTGATGACTGCTGTGCAAAGCTATCATTCCTCAGTCAGTAGTAATCAGTAGGAGCTACTAAAGTTTAGATCAAGCTTTACTAAAAAGCACACTACAGATTGAAACAGATTCTTTCCAGCCTCTCCTGGATCCTCTTCCTACTTTATTGCAACTCCTCAAAGAAAGGCACCATAATCTGCAAGGCAAATCTCCTCCAACCTAGGGGATAGGCCGAATTTCAGGCCCTCTCAGGGAAAGGGCATCCTGAAGCACAAATTTTTTACCAGAGTGAGTGGACAACATGCTGGTAAAACAAGACAAGGGACATACAGGCAGGCAGAAACACTCTGCCCAGCAAAATCCAGGGGATAGTTGCCTTTGCATGTCAAAACTTACCCTGGCATGCCAATCGTCCCAAGAGCTAGAGATCTGGGGAGCGATTCTGGCCAACCAGAAGGAAGGGCTTGTAGGTCTTTCCCATCAGAGATGAAATGGGTTCTCCAGCCACTTTTAGCCACAACAAAGACCCCCACTGTGAAAGCAGGATTCTTGCTTTCTACAATCCTGTTTCAAAGAAAAAAAAGAAAAAAATGAAAAAAGAATACCCTGTAAAGGACAAATCATGACTGGCTCTTCCCTCCTTTATTCCTATTGACCTGCCATGCAGCAGAAAAGAAATATTTCCTATCACGACATTTAGCTAGTACCCCTCACCACCAGGCAGATACCAGGCAAGATGATTTTAGCCTCAGCCCTGCCCATAATGAGTTGAATGTTCCCACATGGATGTGACTTTTTTTTTTAAACTAACACCAGTCCAATATGAATTCAGGCTAGGCTACTGTGAGTTAGAAGACAGAAAAGAGGATGCTAGGATTAAACAATGGAAAAGCAAGACGTTACAGATAGGCTGTAATAAGCAGTTCCCTTCTCAGACAATCTGCACCTCATTTAAATGTTGAAGATCCTGAAGATGGAACCTCTCGGGTAACAAAACCAGACAGAAAGCAGTATCTACTAAGAGGGAGAAATTCATACTTGTGGTGTCTCTATGCCAAAAAAAAAAGTCAACTTTCTTAGCCCAACAAGAAAACTATATTGTGAAAGGGTAGGTAAGAAGCTTTGAAATAATGGGAACAGTTGGCCTTTTGTTCAGCAGACTTGGTTAATTTATCCCAGCCTTCAGTGGTCCTGCAGAGAAACACAAGAGTCAATGGCCACAGATTTTACTTAGCAGCAACTTTTAGGCAGCACAGCAGGAAAAGACTGACAAAGGGAACATCTGTGTAGCTGAATTACCACAGACCTGGGAAAGGATGGATTTAACCTCTAAATAAAAAATAAATAAAAATGTGATTAGATAACCATTTGGCTACAGCTGTGTCTTAGGCAACACTAAACTTTCGAAGCTGGAGTAGATAGCATGCATGGTTTTGGGCATGCAATTTTACTAGTACATCAGATTTTAAAATGTGAAGTTGACACAGCAAGTACAGTGGTCAGTCCTTAACACCCCTGCTTGAAAAAAAATCCTTTGAAAACTTTATCACCAGAAATAACATATAGATTGTATCAGAGATCTAAATGATCTCCAAGAAGGCAAAAGAGGTTCTCAGAGGAAAAACACATTCCAACCAATTACAGACAAGAATACAGTTGCAGAAATAGGTAGACTCAAGTCAAGAATAGGTAATGCAGACTGAAGATGTCTCAGACGTCAGTATATTCCTTCGAAATCTGCCATGTGTATGGATAACAAAAACTGAAGATCTTACCTGGCAACCTGTGTGCCTATCATTATGTCCCCTTCCTTCATGACCCTTCGACTGTAAGGTCTGTAACACAGGCAGAGATGACTTATGTAAACAACTTTTAATGATGTTCCACATACAGTAGTAGCACTGTCTGACTCAGAAAGAGATCATAAGCAGTAAGCTGATGATCGCAAAGACTTTGCCATTATAAAGACATAACTGGATGTTCTCCATAGCCAGCTACTTAGCATTCCATCTTGACCAAACACTGGGCTAGAGCATTGGCTTCTCCAAACTACCCAATCTCCCTGTGCTTGAACTACCACCTAGTAATGTGGGCATATCAGTCATTTTCTACTTAGAACATGTATCCTGAAGTACAAGGTTGCTAAGGTAAATGAAGCACCTACTGAAAAACAGCTGCAGTCTCATCTGGCCTTTTTGCATTCCGGTAGAAGAGACAAGACAAGGAACAATAGCAGAGTCCAAGAAAAGCTGCAGCACTGTTATCCTAATGTCTGGCTAAATCTGGCACAGCTCTATATTGGGAGTCTTGTAATTTACACCCATTTTATAAAAAAACCCACAGATGACATCTGGGGCTCTGACAACAGGGGCTACTCCTGGTACATTTTCTTTTGACGTTTAAGTGGGAGATCAAATGAGGTAACCTTAGACAGCAATTTAAAAATAAGAAAGATATACCTCATGTAAGGATCAACACTGAGAAACACTGATTCAAGCAGCAACTCTGTAATAAAAGACAAAGCAAATTCCTGGGCATCAGCAGTACAATAAAGCATGGTTTCCACAAGTCAGCCTTCCAACAATGTGTCAGAAATTCATGACACCCCAGAACCCACATATCCTGTCAAGAAAAAAAACTCCCAGAAACAACCACTACATTCATTAGCTTTCTCTGGATTATCACTGTGTTGTTACAAAAACCACTTTATGTAATATCTCTTCAGGAGGCTATCTTCTTTTCAACCCTGTTTTTCTTTATCTGCCTTCTTACTCTATAGATGGCTCAAGAGGCTAGACCCTCTAAGCAAGGCACCAGCTTTCTTTCGACCCATATACAAAATGCCTTCCCACGATTCAACCAGCAGAGGGTAGTAAGAAACCCTGACACAGGTCGAACATAAACACTGCTTTGCCGCCTTAACGGAAAGCCTTTGCTAGATTGGCTAATGCACACTACTGTCTCTAGTTTTTGGAAATTATACTGTTAAATTTTACATGCTCATTCACACAGCAGTTTTAGCTCTTCCTCTCCACCCAGTAACACCTTCCATTGCCTGTGCTGAAGTGGTCTAGCTAGTACAAGCTAGAAATATAGTCAGATATAAATATTTCCCCATTACTCAGTGTGAGATTGAAGAACAGTCAAGGCCATTAGCATAACATGAAAGGCCATCTCCCTTAAAAGTGTTACTCTAGTATCAAGTTATGCTCTTCTTCCTGTAGGGATTAAAATGGGAAGGAAGATACTATTCCATGTTCTTAAATACCCGCAGGCATGAAATTTAGAAGTACTCATGCTATGAAAAGACTTGAAAGCATATGTAAAATGAAATCATCTTTCAAACCTTTAAGCTGTAAACGTAACTAATTCTTTGGTGCACCTTATGAACTGGAGTAAATTTTGTAAAGGACAAATGGTGGGTAAGGTTCAAAACAGCATCGTATGTGTCCATGTGAAGCCTAATCACTTGTGTCCATGTGAGCACAAAATCTAGGTTTATTCTTTAATCAAAAGCTCTTGCATAAAATGTTATGATATTCCCTACTCTTTTCAAAAGAGAGAAACACAGGATAAAACCTGTGCATTTTTTTCCTCTTTATTCACTTTCTCTTGCTGCCACAACAGGTCAAATGTAACAGATAAACACTGGCAATAAAACAGGTGTTGAATGCAGACAGAAGTCTTGCCTTTTAGCTTCTTAAAATTAAAGATCAGCCCGAACTGACTCCAGCCCCAAGGCCTTCTAGCCACAGATTCATTATCACCGCAGTCACTCTGCTGTGCCCTAGCACTATCCTCAATTCCTTCCCTATCAACATACAAAACTCCAACGAAAGCCTACATCTGGAGGCTATCTTCTTCAACCTTCTCCAAAGGATTTTGCAGAATAGATTAAAATCTTTCACCAGTAAAAGCATGTTTAGGTTTTACTAGAGTTAGCTCTTCATATGCTCTGTGTCACAGTTCACTTCTAAATTAAACAAAGACTGTTTCCTTGTGGCTGTTGGTTTTGAGGGCATATTGCTTCAGCAATTATCACTTCAGTAATTTTCTCCAGTAAGTCTTATTTGCAAACAGATTAAGATGCTTTTGCCATCGGGCACCACATGTGATTAGGCACTGTGAGACTGTGAAGAACACACTGCAGCCACAGCATGATGGAGTTGGAAGAGCTCAGGCACTGACTTTTAAGATGTTATCACAAGGCAGTGTGTTTTAAAACTCACCAAACACAGCAGCATACATGTTCTTTAGCAATTGCCCTTCTCTGTTGAGGTACAGGGCTTGCCAAAAACCACGACAACCCATTTTTGAAAATCTAAGAAAAACAAACAGTTGTGCAGATGCAAAGCCATTCCTCAGCAATCAGACAGCCTCCAGAATAAGTAAAACCAGACAGCATCCACTTACCTCCATCCTTTAGGTTTGGCAGTTCTATCTTTTTTAGGTCGAAGTCGCTGGTTTTGGGGAAGCCCTCAAAATGCTTCTTCAGAACCCACACCTTGGCAGTAACCATCCTGTGCAACAAACACCACAGCCAAAGAGTGCTTGTCAGAAATGCCCAAAGGTGCTAGTCTGCTCACAAGGGTCGTTTAGACTTCATGAATCCAAGCAGTATCTTGATAACTGAGACAAAGGGGCACAAAATCACAAAATGGGATATAGAAACCTTTATAAGTAGTTTTAAGTAATGTTAAGTTCGATGGCTTTGTAACAGTAGCAATGGAAAATTACTGAGGTGCATGATACATAGAGGAAAAATAAATAGAGTACAGCTTGAGAACATACTGAGAATTCTCACAAGATAAATCATTATAGTTGTCCTAGTTTTAAGAAAAACAGTCTAGAAGAACAGGACACAGGGATAAGGAGTATCTGGGAACTGCAGGTGTCCAGGATGGGCTACAGTTAAACTAACTGATAAGTAGGAGGATAGGAGGATTATTATGTCTCTGGTGCTAACGAACCAATTAAACTGGTATGAGCATCTACTGCGCGTGCTTCAAAGGCTGCCAGAAGTGATGAAGATTGTTGGAAGAAGTAAACGACCCTCAGAGACCACCACCACAATTCTGTACGCATGCGGGGAACTCTCTGGAAAATGATGTAATCCATATGTAGCCTCATGAATATGTATGTATGCCCAGGGACTATATAAGGATGGCTTGTATAGCAATACGGGGACACACGTTAGGAGGATTTATCCCCCGTGTCTCCCGGCGCCGCAATAAAGAATACCTGCTTGTCAGCTTGAAAACTTTGTTGGCAAGTTTGTTCCTGGAGTTTTCTCCGAATCAATTTGGCGACCCAGGTGGGACCCTCTCTGCTCGGCTGCAGGACCCGCTGAGGAGAGGGCTCCCTAGGGCCCTCGGGAATTTTTCCTGGAGGGACCCCTCGACTCATTCGGATCGCTGCGGGAGCAGACAAGGACCATCTCATAAAAGGTATTCTTTTTTTTGTATAGTCTGTAAGGTGCAGGGGGCACCTCGGTTTGGTAAATTGGTTTGGTAAATTGGTTTGGTAAATTGGCTTGGTAAATTGGCTTGGTAAGCGTACGCATGGTTTGGAAGCCTTCCGTAAATCGAGATAAGAAATCTCGTAGGTAAAGGCGTATACCCGGCTGCTAGCGTCCGTTTGGTATACACCCACAAGAAGCAGGGGGCTTCTTGTGGTTTGGGTCCTGCAAGACACAGGGGGTGTCTTGCAGAAAAGGTTTTGGATTTTACTGGTATACACACAAAGGAAGCAGGGGGCTTCTTGTGGTTTGGGTCCTGCAAGACACAGGGGGTGTCTTGCAGAAAAAGGTTTTGGATTTTACTGGTATTTGATTTATTTTGTGGCTTGTTATATTAAGGATTTTGGTCTTGTGATTTTGGTATCAGTGACAGACTGTTATAACTAAGCAGGGGGCATCTTGTGATTTAGGTCCTACAAGACGCAGGGGGGTGTCTTGTGGAAATGGTTTTGGGTCCAGTGTGCTATCAACAGCCCATAAGGGATTTGATTCAGTGATGCTGTCAGCGTGGGTCCCTGAATAGGTTAGTAGAATCACCCTTCGATACAGTGGGCTGTTCAGTATGGTTCCCACAGTGGGATGCAGACAGGTTGGTCGGACAGAAGGGACTCATCCTTCTTGGGACACTGACAGGCTGGTCAACTATAAAGGGTTCAAGGAAACCCCCTATTAATGTTACAATATGGTCTGAGCTATAAGGGTTAGGAAGTATTGCTTTTGATTCTACTGGTATTCGCCTGTTTTGTGGCTTGTTACAGTAATGATTTTGGTCTTGTGATTCTGGTACTGGTGACAGGATGTTATAACTGTGTTATTAACTGTTGTTTGTTTGGTTGAATTTAAGTCTCTGTCTTTGTCTCAAGTGTTGTAACTGTGTGGAGTATGTCTGGGGATCCCGTCTGTGTGTGTGTGAATGTGAGATTGATAATGGAAAATCAGCAGAGTGAAGAGATCTTGAAAAAGAATCCTTTTGGGTGCATTTTGGCACACTGGAAAGAACTTGGAGGGTCTCCTGGGGGCTTGGTAAATAAGAAAATATTGGTAAAATATTGTAACCAATGGTGGCCTTTGTATACTTTGGAAGATCAGGAAAAATGGCCTAAAACTGGAACTCTGAACTATAATACAGTGTTACAATTAATGTTGTTTTAAGGGGGCAAGGAAAATGGGATGAAGTAATGTATGCAGATATGTTTTTCACTTTAAGAAATCACACGGAGTGACAGACTGAATGCAAAATTAATATAGCTCCGCCAGATTCCTTAATTTTGGCTTTGGAAAAGGACAGGGAAAAACTGAAAGTTACGCTGGAGATGCTCAGCCTCTGATATTGGGGAAAGATGTTTAAAGTTAAAAAACAGTAATCAGGAACATAAGGTGGAAAATCACGTACTACAGGTATCTCCGAGAGGAGCACCCTCTGCCTCTGTCCTATCTGATATTGATAAGGAGGAAGAGATTTCTGTCACTGGCAACAAGCGGCACATTCACATTCAGAGTTAAGAAGGGGTTAAACCAGAAGTGCCGTTGCAGAGGCAGGCATCTGCAGGCCCTGCAGAGCAGGGGGAGCTGCTGTGAGAAAAAGAAAAAAAAAAAAAAAGGAAAACCAAGGGGGAAAGGAGGGGAGCTCGAGCAGCTCCAGTGTTTGAGCGTGGGAGGAGGGATGTCTGCAGGAGGTGGGGGAGTGGGCTCTTCTCTTCTGTGGGACCGGACCGGTGTGCGTGCTATGGGGGGTTTTGGATGCTGGAAGTGAGACTGCCTGGGGAGGGCAGTGCCATGGAGTGGCTCCGGTGACTGAACTGGAACTAAACTGACGGGGACCTGGGGAATCTACCCTAGCAGATCCACTGGTTACATTAAGACTATGAACTAGGGGAAATAAAGTGGAATTTTAGTGGATACAGGAGTAACTTATTTGGTGTTAAATAAGAGAGAAAAGAATTCGTTACAGATGTGGGAGCTACTGGCCACCAAGGAAAAGAGGAAAAAAAAAAAAAGGCATTCTTTTTGGAACCTTTAAAGTACAAATTGGGAAAACAAATCGGAATGCATAAATTTTTATGCATGCCAAATTCTCTAAAATCTTTGTTAGGGCGAGAAGCAACATTTAAAGAAGGCAAAATGGAATTCAGAGTTAAAAACAATTAATTGCAGTTTTGAGTTTAATTCAACAGAAAAGCAAAAAGGAGGACCTCCCTGAAATAGAAGAAATCCTTAATCAGGTATATGTGGGAGTATGGGCATCTGAAGTTCCAGGTAAGGCGAAAAATGCTTTGCCTGTTAAAGTGGAAATAAAAAGGGGGGCCTACCCAATTAGAATAAAACAGTATCCCTTAAAATTAGAAGATCAAAGGGAATAAAAAAAAAATTTGATAAATTTTAAAATATAGATTATTAATTGAATGTGAATCGGAATATAATACTCCTATCTGGACAGTAAAGAAATATGATGAGAAAAGTTGCAGATTGGTTCACGATCTCAGGGCAATCAACAAAATTGCAGAGGATATTCGTCCAGTAGGAGTTAATTCGTATGACTGACTAAACTGAATAATAATCAGAAATGGTTTGCCATCCTGGATTTAAAGGACACTTTCTTTTGCTTACCATTGGCCAAAGAAAGCCACAATTATTTGCTTTTGAATGGGAAAATCCTGATACAGGAAGGGAAACTCAATTAACTTGGACAGTATTGCCTAAAGGGTTAAAAAAAAACAGTCCGGCAATTTTTGGAAGTCAGCTAGCATGAGAACTAGAATTATGGAAGCCACCTACTCAAACGGGACTCTGTTACAATATGTGGATGACCTGTTAATTGCTACAGAAACAAAGGAAGAATGTATCAAGTGGACAGTGGAATTGTTAAATTTTCTGGGACTGAATGGTTATCGGGTATCCAGACAAAAGACCCAACTAACCCAAACCCAAGTTTCCTACCTAGGATATGAAATAACAGGAGGACAGAGAGAACTTGGAACTGCTAGAAAAGAAGCCATTTGCCAGACTCCAAGACCATCGACCATCAAGGAGCTCCGGACATCCCTGGGAATGACTGGATGGTGCAGACTTTGGATCCATGATTATGGTGTTCTGGTAAGACCACTATATGAACTGTTGAAAGGAAACTCTCCCTCTTTAGAATGGACTGATACAGCAGAGGGGGTTTTTAGAAATTTAAAAACAGAGCTAATGAGAACTGCAGCTCTGTGACTCCTGGATGTGACTAAATCCTTTTGGCTATATTCCTGTGAAGAGCAAGGAATAGCTTTGGGGGTCCTTGCTCAAAAACTAGGACCCTACAGAAGGGCAGTGGCCTATTTTTCAAAACAGCTGGGTGAAGCGAGCAAAGGATGGCCCAGATGCCTAAAAGCTATGGCAGCAGTTATCACAAATATTAAAGAGGCTTGCAAATTTACTTTGGGACAAAAGATTACTGTACTAGTGTCCCATGTGGTATCAGTAGTCCTGGAGCAGAAAGGAGCCCACTGGTTATCTCCTTCACGTTTTTTTAAATACCAGGCCACCACTGTAGAACAGGATGATACAGAAATTGTGGTCACTAACGTTGTGAATCCAGCATCCTTTTGCAGGAACAATTGACAGAACCACTAACACACAACTGCTTGACCACCATATTCAAGCATCTGAATCATAACATGCCATCACACAAGATGGCCTCTGCTTCCATCTCGTGGCAGTTTTACTGGATCAAGAGAAAATCAGAAAAGCCCCCTCATCGCCTAAGCAACCCAGAGTTTCCTGTGACCTGCCCAACCTCCCTGCCTGCTGGCAGCAAACCCTGATGTGAGAAGTCAGCCCCAGCAAGATGTACAGCTCCCACTCCAACGAAATTGAAGAGGAAAAACCTAGTTTAAGGAGAGAAAAAAATAAATCCTGTAAGGAAGAAAAATAAAACACTTAAACTTACTCTTTTTCCCCACTCAAATGGGATGAGTACTGAATCTAAACTTTTACAAGCTTGAATCAAAGTGCAAGTGAGAAATGCAAAGGTAAGGTTTTTTTTCCATGATGCCCCATGCACTGAAATGCTTCTCCAGTTGCCAAGCTTAGGGCTTGGAATTGGGAGAAACAGTCACCAGCATTTTCCATACACGATGGAAACAAACTAATGACTTCCATTTGTTTTACCCTCACAATCCCTCTTTCCTTCCTAGAAGCAAGCACATCAACAAGGGCAAAGAAAGAGAAGTTTATACCTAGAGCAGACAGGTGGAAAACTGTGTCTTCTGCTGACAAGGCCAGTCAGCGACCAACAGTAAATTGGCAGCTGGACTCTTGCAGTCACACACACCTCCAAAAAGAAAGAACATCTGCTTTTATCGACAGAGCAGGCACTGCCCTCAGTCCATTTCCCCACAAGCAAGTGTAAACCTGGCACAGGACACACCCAGCAGGATTCATCTTTCTCCTACTAAGATCTGAGATCATCCTTACAGACTGCTCAAATTCAGTGTCCAGACCGTTGCTGGAATGCTCTGCAATATGCCAAGCTAAATACACAAAACCCACAGTCCTAGAAATCACAAAATACTGCAGTCTGTAGACTAAGGCTATTGTCTGCAGCAGAAGCTTCTTCAAATCACATTTTATCAGTCAAGCCCTAAAATTCTTAAAGAGTTCTGCCACCAAGGAAAAAATATTTTATTAAAAATGAATATAAAATGAATCATTCAATCCATCATTTAGCACAGCAAAATGATCCATACGTACACCACTTGTGTATGCTCTGACATCTTCACTGTTCTCAGGGCACGCAACAAAGGATCAGAGTTCGTGCGGGTATGCCTTTTGGATGCTGGGATCTCTGTGCATTGCAGAGCCTCCTTAAGCAACAGTAGCAAGCTTTGGCATTTTGCCTCAATTGTGTTGCAATCGGGCATGTGGCAGGAGAGAAAACTTTGCTCAGGGATGGTCTTCAGATCCCATTTTTTTTGTGAAACTATTCAAGTAGAATGTGAAGCGTGAGAAGTGTAAAGAGACCCACACTTACCATCATGTTTAACTATAAAAAAAAAAAAAAAAAAAACAAACAAAAACAAACAAACAAAAAAAAAACAACCCCAACAACTGAAGACAAAAGTACTAATTAGGAACAGAGACCTAATAAAAATAACAAAAACTCTTTAAAGACTCACAGGAAAGGACCAGGGAGAACAGGGCAAGCTCTCCGTTTTCTGTGATGAGCCAGTGTTACTCAGGCACAATTTTTTAACTATATACCTACAACAGTTTGCCAGCGAGAAACAAACAGCAGAGGTGAAGGGTTTCCTGCATTGAGGAAACTACCCATATCGGGAGATGCAGGTCTTTCAGAAAGTGAAAGAAATGTCATCAAGCTTATTATCTAAGCATCTGTCATTGATTATGTGAGCAAGCAAAATCAGCATTCCTCATGTCCCACATACAATTACAAGAATCAGTGTCACCGAAAACTTATCTGCAGCAATTGGCATCTGACCTGCAAACATTGAAAAACCCAATGCAGGTGGCACTCCCCCAGCACTTCCCACTTCCCTCCACGGTTCATTTACTTTGTTGTCAACGGTACTTATCTGTACTTACCAGTAACAAAAGATGCTGCAACACTGAAGCAACAACAAAGTAAATTTAGCAATGGGGCTTACAGGAGCAAAAGGAGTTCAGAGTAACACAAAACCAATCCCTCTCTCTAGCTTATACCCACAAGCACTTCGAGGGATTTGACCTAGCATTGTGTCCTGCTTTCAGACACAGACGTCCAAAGTGCTCAAGACAGGAACAACAAAGGTATGGGGAGATGGAACAAGGGATGCTGGCTAGGCTGGCAGCCATGGGCCGATGTGCCATTCGTACCCCTATGAAAAATTTATCCTTTTTGTGAAACACAGATTTTCCAGCAGAGCAGCGATCCCTCCTACAAACAATATGGAAATATTAACTTCACTGAACATTTTTTATTACATTTAGGCCTAACTTTGGGAACAGGACAAATTTTCTGCTGACCTCACACTGCTTCAAGACTAGGGATATTTTATTCAGGCTGTAAAACAAAAAGCCCCAAACAGAACACAGCCACATGCTTGATGAATGGAGTCACAAACTAATTTCCAGGTTAAAAAACAAAGATTATTTAGCATGTTTAGACATAAAATCATTAGAACTGGTAAGAACTATGTTGCTTAAGCATAGTAAGGAATTCTGAAGCATAAACAGCAGTAATGCAAAATTGTTACATATATGGAAAACACTGTCTTACAGTGTTTGAAATGTGTGAAAGTGGATAGCTGGCAGGCTGAGGGTGTGATGGCTTTGTGGAATTACTGCCTAGCACCCGCCTCTGCACAGACATGAAATAAAACATTACTCTGTGTGTTACTTGGCTCTCTGCACATTGCATGAAGAACCCTGATTCTGGGACAAAAATAAATGCCTAGAAGTCTTAGAAAAAATTACCTGCTCCTCCCCTCTGGCTTAGCTATTACAATACTTTCCCAGAAATTATGTTTTTTTCCTGTGGTAAAAATACATGGTAATGGCAAACCACTCCCGACACTACTTTTGGCAGATACTACATACTGTGAAGATCTGAGCAAGCATGACGCTGCACTATGAAACAATAAAGCTGCAACCTCTCTTCTTTATGCAATGCTATCAAGCCCTGGAAGGAGGTCAAAGATTGGAGGTTAGTAGTCATTGCTACTGTCCTGCACTATGTTACAAGACTGTAATTCCAACAGAGGTTCAACAATCCTGTAGAGCAATCTCACATGAGGAGGGGAAAAGTAAAGTGAAGTCCTGCACAGAAACGGGTCAGCTGGCTTTCAGCTCTCAGAAATTGCACATAAAAGGAGAATCTTAAGAACCAAGTCTGGTAAGAAAGAATAAGCAAGAACCCCACAGGCTGGAAGGAAGAGAAGATACTGCAGGTGACCCGGGCTGACAAATCAAGCCAAAGCTTCTTGAGGGCCTTGTCACCGCAGGGCACTCTTACACTTCTTTCAAGCACTCGTCTACCTCCCCCGTGCTTAAATGTTGATGCAGTCCAAGCACATGCTGCAGCATCATTGAATGCAAAATTTCATCCAAGCTGTTCATACATGCTGCAGTACAGGTTTGCTTCTTACATTTGCACTCCTGTTTCTGCACTACAGACAGAAACGTTGTTTGCTTGATTTTACAGCTGCCAAAAAAAAAACCCACCTTTTTTAAAAAAAGAAAAAGTCCCTTTAGCCTTAAATTTCTAGAAAGCTCCATTTAAATTAAACCCTAAACTTCTGACTACAACGACCAAGCAATTTTATTTGAGGAGAAACAGATATCTCAGGATGGTTATCTAATGCTGTAAAGTTACTGCAAGAGCTCCAGGATTTACTAAGCCTGTCATTGACTGCTCCTTCCCTTATTTCTCATTACTTACCTCTACAAAGGTTAAGCATTCCTGTCTCTTGCAGCATAGTGTAATAGGACAGCCCTGTGTGCTCAGAAGGGAAGTTACAAACTTCCAAACACCAGCAATCCCTGAGGCCCCCTTCTGAATTTCTGTAATATTACAAGAGCAGATTCATTCTTGAATGAGCTCCTGCTCATAGCACAAGCAACCAGCTTGTCCCTCAAGAGGGAAACTTGCTGCCCCAGCCCACCTAGCATGCCCAAGACATGCCACCACTCTAATACACCTGTAGTACGAAGAAAACTGAGACAGGTCAACTAAAAGATTAAGGCAAAAAGCGGGGGGAGGGGGGGTAAGGAGGGAAGTCAGTGGTCTAAGGTACTGCAGAAGCACAGAGCAGCAATCAGCAGCTGTTGTATCACCGCTTTAGGCAGCAAACAGCATCTGTAAAGGAGCCTGAGGACCAACCGATTCCCACAGGGCACACCAGCCCACATATTTTACCATTCTAATCCATGGTAAGTGAAAACGGGTGCATCCAGGTACATCCATGCCTTCCTGGGGCTCTCAGTGCCACCAAGACTGGAGGCAGCCTGGGCTTCAGTGACCATGCCCAGTGGAGTTCACAGTCCTGAGGGATACAGGTCCTGGAAACAGTAAGCTCAGGACCCTGAACTCTGGGAAAGCAAACTTCCTGCTGTTCAAGGAGCTAGCAAACAGGACCTCCAGGCAACTCCCCTCAGGGACAAGGGAGAGAACAGACTCAGCAGCTCTTTAAGGCATTTTCCATACAGTGCAAGAAATCTCAGTCCCCTGATGTAAGAAATCAGGAAAAGAATGCAAGAGACCAGCATGGATGAGTCAGGTGAAGTCCCGGTGACTGGAAAAAGGGAAACACTGCACCCATTTTTAAAAAGGGTAGAAAGGAGGACCCTAGGAACTACCAACCTGTTGGCCTCACCTCTCTGCCTGTGAAGGCAATGGAACAGATTCTCCTAGAAACTATGCTAAGGCACATGAAGGTGATTTGAGACAGCCAGCATGGCTTCACCAAAGGCAAGTCCTGCCTGACCAACTTAGTGGCCTCCTATGATTGACTGACTACATCAGTGATCGAGGAAAAAGCTACAGATGTCAACTATTTGGACTCCTGTAAGGCCTTTGACATGGTGCACCGCATCATTCTTCTCTAAATTGAAGAGATAAAGGTTTCATGAGTGAGCTGTTCAGCAGATGAGGAACTGGCTGGATGGTTTCATCCAGAGTAGTGCTCAGCAGCTCAATGTCCACATGGAGATCAGTGACACGCAGTGCACCCTCAGCAAATTTGCAATCAACCCCATTCTTCAAACAAATCCATTCTTCAATCCCCCCTTTTCTTGTCCTATTGCAAATTCTTTTGCAACTGAGTTATTTTGTTCTTAAAGTTTCCTGAAGTATTCCCTGTTTCTGCTTGATGCTTGATTTTGTTTCTCTTCCATTCTTCATAGTTCGTCATGGATTGTTTTCAACACCAGAAAAAAAAACACTGTACCATGCCACAAATGATTAAGATTTACTTTCTTGAGAAAAAGACAGGCTGCTGGGCCTGCCCTTCCTTCCTGGATGGCTATCTTAGAACAGGGGAGGCCACCCCTCACATCAAGGTCTGGCATGGCATGTGTCCCCACCACTCAACGCCTGCGGGGTTGCAGCCAGCAGCGGAGTCAAAGGTTCTTCTTGGTGGCAAATGTAGAGGCCAACCCAGTCTTACCCTTGACTATGGTAGAAGGCATTTGGCCAACTTCAGTCCTTGCACCTCGTTGTCAATACAGAGTTACACCTGCCTCAATTCAGTAACAGGCTGCTACTGTGGCAAAACACACACACATTCACATTGTCAGTAAAACTACTACAGGGTGCAGCAGCATATTGAAGATGCTGGTGGCAGTGAGGGACCAGTCAAAGAAAATTTCCCACCAGTGGGGTTCTTGCACCCTCTTAAGTTGTTCCATTACCGGCTTGTCGTGGTTTAACCCCAACCAGACAACTTGTTCACCCACTCCCCCCCTCTTCTTGCCCTCCCCTTACTCCTGGAGCAATGGAGGGGAGAATCAGAAAGAATGCAACTCCCACGGGTTGAGATAAGAACAGTTTAGTAACTAAGGTATAACACAAATCACTACTGCTGCCACCAATAATAGTAATGATAAAGGAAATAACAAGGAAAGAGAATACAACACCCCATCACCAGGCGACCAATAACTCGCCCCCCCCCGCCCGACTGATACCTCCTCCAACCCTGCAGTCCACCTAGCCCTTCCGGGTAACTCCCAGTTACCTCCAGGGCATGACGTGCTGTGGTATGGAATACCTCTTTGGTCAGTTTGGGTCAGGTGTCCTGTCTCTGCTTCCTCCCGGCTTCCCCTCCTCCCTGGCAGAGCATGAAGCTCACAAAGTCCTTGGCCAAACCAAAACATCATTTTTATCAGCTCTGTTCCCAGCCCGGAAGTCAAAACAGAGCACTGCACCAGCTACCAAGAAAGAGAAAAAATGACTGCTGCTGCTAAACCCAGGACACTGCTTTATAACACTACCATCATATTAGAATCTTTCTAGCTTCTGCGTTAGCATTTTCTAGCAGCTGCTGTAAATTTGCATCCTCTAACATCTCTTTTGCAAGTGACAAATCCATAGGATACAAGGTGTAGTTTCTTATTAGCAACTGGCTAGTAAATACAGGTGGTTTATACACAAAATCACAGCCTCAAATATGAAGAATGGGGTTGATTGAAGAATAGGGTTGTAAATAAGTAACTTCAAGGACTTTAGCATTGTTAGCAACTACAGTGATAAGGAAATGGCTAAGATAAGCATTGCGCAAGAACTGTCCAGAAGCAGCCTGGTGGTTATTGACATGACAACGATCCTAAAAACAAGAGACAAAGAGAAAGATATAAAGAAATAACCATCAGCGGTCACAAAGCCTACTACCACTTTAGTGTGGATGCAGGAGAAATTCTAGAACTAAGATGTAAGGTATAAGTAACTCAATGCATATGCTATGTAATCTAATGAACATGTATGTTTAAGGACAATATAATCACAGCATGGTTGATGCTCGGACGAGCCATGCTAGGAGGAGCTATCCCCTGTGTCTTCCGGGGCCGCAATAAAGAATACCTACTTGTCAACTTACACTTTGTTGGTGAGTTCCTGGAGATTTCTCCAAATCAGATCACAGGAAGATGGTTGGATAGGCATAGATTTGGAAATGCAGGGTGGTGAGGCTGAAGTACAG